ACCCTTAACACAATACGTCACAAATATCCACACTTTGAATCAGCAGGTTCATGAACATGCTATAGTCCTCACTTATTCAACAACTACCCTCTTTCAACAACCATTTCAACAAAATTACTTCCACCAACAAAACCCTTACCAAACATCTAACCGGTTTTAACAATTTTTAATCTTCACAATTTCAACATTCTCAACCCCAACCTTCCCAAAATCAACGTTCCCGACCCCAACCTTCCCACGTCAATGACAACGAGACGGTACCGAAAACTCAACCACAACCATCTAGAATAAAAAAAAAAAACAAAAGGCAAAATAGGTGGTAGAAATTGGATCGAAGATGAGGAATCGATGTTAACGTTTGCTTGGATTTCTATATTTGTAGATGAGAAGACGAGCAATGCCCAATACGGGTTGACATTTTAGAACCGCATTCTAGCACACTTCTATTAGCAAATGGAAATGGATGAATATTGGATCTACAATGGTGTAGAAAATGACGTGAGCTAAGAGCTAGTTATACCAATTTTAACGACATCTACAACAACCTAACAAAAATGCATCGAAGTGGATCAAAGGAATTCATTATTTGCCACTCGAGTTCGATTCATTTGCAGCCTTACTATTAAGTATATTTCGTCATGTGATAAGAATCTAACGGTTGAGGTGCATAATTCAATAAATGAGTTTGAACGTTAAATTTTGTATACCCGAAATATTAATGCTAGGGTTCGAATTTACCGCTACGTAATGGGCTCGAAACCAGTTAAAATATGGATCATCCATATGGTGTTGTTTAAGTCTCTGCATCTAGGTTCTTGTTCCGGAGACAATATGATTTATCTCCCAAAAAATGTTAGACAACGAGACCAATTTATGAGGGTAATTAGGGATTGTGTTTACCTTTTTTTTTCATTGTTGACTGATTTCTAATAATTTTGACGATTAAACACCAGTCAAGCAATGTTGCCTCAAATATCTTTGCATCTCACTGAAACGCTACACGTGATAGAAGACATGATTCGTATAATTATATGAGTACAAATACGTAGAGCCTAAAAAGATGACGAGGTACTTTTGTCCATTTTCAAAGGGAAGTTAAACTTAGGTAAAATATTAAAGTTAAAAATTGTAGAATAGAATGGTCATATCTAGTCCTTTTGTGTTGGGTACGATCCGTGATTGGTACTGGCAAGGAAATGATGGATGAAGAATGGCTCTATTCGTTTTATATCTCCAACTGTTCCATCTACCCTCTTTGCTAATAAATGCCATACAATCAAACATAATCATATAAGGTGGGCTCAAATATATTTATACGTATATTCATGAAGACCAAGTGTGTCTATATATATATATATATATATATATATATATATATATATATATATATATATATATATATATATATATATATATATATATATATATATATATATATATATATATGGAAAGGATCAAATGAGAACACCTAAAAGGTTGAAACGCGAGAACATTTCTGAACCTATCAATATATAAAGGCATATAGGTAAACTTGTCTTTTAATTAAATTATAAAAAATAAAATAAAATGATATTTTCCTAAATTTTTGGGATTCTAATTGACTGTTACCAAAAAAATGATTTTTTTTTTCATTTTCTTTATATCATTAATGAAAGAGAAATAAAATTATCAATTTCAAATGATTTTATTTTGCTTTACGTGATTCTTGTCCTTAAATGAATAAATATTAAACTAATTTATTGAGTATACAATTGACTGAAAATATATAACAGTTTACTAATTTGATGATTTAATTTTATCAAATAGTGTCATATTCATAAATGAAAATGTCGTGACTGGATTTGTCTTTTGTTTTTTGTTCATGAATTGATATCCAAAAATGATTAAGAATTCATCATTTCATTACAAATAAATACGCCTCTAATTACAATCATAAATGAATACAACTATAATCATACATGAATGCATTTACCATAATACAAAATACATCTAAATTCCTATATTTTCAGTAGTTATATTCATAAATGAATATAAATTGAATCATAAATAAATGTCTATAACATTGTTTTTTTTCTTCCAATTTTCTTGTTGCTATCATACATATAGAAACGAAGAGCGCTGCATTTTCATGCTTTACAGTTATCCTTCTTCGAAACATCAAGCTCTAAATTGCACCTGTTCAAAACATAAATCATTAATGTATAAAATCATGTAGTTACAGTATACTTATATTCATTGATGATTAACTGCAAAATAAGACATTTGACATTGTATTCATATAAGATTACAACTAAATTTATATTGATAAACTAACAGTCACATTCATAATATATGAACAAGAGTTAGAACAATAAGAAGGGATAAAAATGAAATCATACGAAATTCTGAATCATTTCTCTAAGATTAATGAATCAGGGGAGACAAACAGAGAAGCAGACAGAAGATCAGAATTCTAGTGCTAAAATGGGAACCGCAGTAAACAAAGTATCATAGAGCAATAGATCAAGAATGCTTCAAACCTCATAGATTCTCAGAACATATACAAATTAAATATGGTTTTTAACTAGCGGGAAAAAAAGAACACAGGTAACAGTATGAACGTGAACATTCAGATTGAAGAATCTTGCCGGAGACTATACTGTGCCAACCCTCCGCCAAACCCACCTCTGACACTAACAATAGCAGCAACCTTATCGGCAAACATGTTCGGTAGCCTAGATGCCCAATCGATTGCGTTCTTCAAAGGTTCTGTAACCGTGTAATTGTACTCAGGAGAAGCAAAGAGGAAACATTCAGATTGAAGAATCTTCTGACGAAATGCTTCGACCTCCGGTGGAAATTTGTCGTCGACTTCGAGATCTGTGTTGAACATCGACAACAGCGATATGTCGACGTTTACGATCGACATCCCGTCGATCGCTTGGGTGGCTAATTCAATGGCGGCGCGGATGAGGCCATGTTGGAAGGAAGCTTTGCGAGTGGAACCACAGTTGGCAGCAACGTTAATTATCGGTTTGGGTGATGGCGAGGTCTGATGGTGGCGTAGGGATGAGGCGGTGATATGTTGAAGATGTCGATTTAATGCTCTATGAGATTAGGTCAAAAAATAAAGAGGCAGAGAGTAATTATAGGAGTTTACAAAATTAGGGTAATGCTTATTTACCTTAATAGCCTTTATAACTTTCTTTAATTTAAAAATTAAAATTTAAATGTATTAATAATTAGAAAAATAACAATTAATTATAGCCACACATCTTAAAAATTAGATGGTCCAGATCTGTTCTCGCGTTCTCAACCTTTTAGGTGTTCTCATTTGATCCTACTCATATATATATATATATATATATATATATATATATATATATATATATATATATATATATATATATATATATATATGCACAAATACTTATTATATTGTTATGTGTGTACATGTATATTTGTCTATACAACAGAGGAGCACAATGGTCAATTTATGACCCATATGAGGCAATATATATTGGAACTCAAATCATATGAATGAATGAATAATAGTAATCACTTTTAGTATCCTATCCGTCATAACAACATTATATATAGTTATATAAAGATGAATTTGAGATTTTGAACTAACGTCATTAATCTTCTCAAACCCAAATACATGTTCATCCCACATTTGTTTCAATTATATCTTTTAACAATAAATATATATACATGTCATGCAAAGCCATAAACAAAATAAAACATACCTCGAAAATATTATGACATGTTATTCTCAATTGTGGGGATGGAAAGGGTAAAGAGGTTGTCTTTCCAGTTTCCCAAAACAACAAGACTACCCCATGATCAAGGACCACACACCCTTCAAATTGAGGTATGTCCCATGAGATTTAATAAATTATACAGTATTAAAGAGGTAATTGAGTAGATGACCTTCATGACGAAAATGGTTATAATATATGAAAAGGGACCATCAAAAGGGCTCTATATCGGCACATCAAAAGACTAGCTAGCAGCCAATATTTGATATGATTCAAGATGGAAAATGAGGGAGACAAATAAGCATAAACTAAAAGCTTCTTTTTTATGGGACGATATGATAAAAGCATGTTACCAATTCATCAAAAAACAATATTTTATGGGTTATGTTTATGTTTAAAAGTTATAATTTATTTGTGATTTTTTAAAAGATGCAGGACAAAAATAAAAAGTGTTTTAAGACTTGCTAAATTCAGACAAAGATTATATAATTCAATAGTAGCTTTTAAGGTTTATAGGTTCTGTCAAAATTTTGGAATTTAAAAGTAAACAAAAGTAATCAAGATTTACTTTTTTTTTTTTTTTTAAACCGCAAATCTAATCTCCACCTATGTCCACGACGGGATTTGAACCCTCCACCTCAAGGAGGGAGGGCAACACCGGATATCGCTGGGCTAGAAGCCCTTTTAGTCGAGATTTACTTACTAAGATAACACATGATGGATTTAAATCCTTGATTTCATGCGATTCACATTAATAACAGAATTGAATCAAAACTGAAAGATCATAAAATTTGGAAAACGTTAAAGGTTGGAGTTTCTACTTATCGTTTGTACTCATTAATTTACAAGCATGGATTTTATTTTTATTTTTCATTATTTTCATACGCTTGGAGTTTCTACTTATCGTTTCTACTCATTTATAAGCATTGATTTTATTTTTTCATTATTTTCATACGCTTTTAAGCATAAAATTTGTATTATATCCACATCACTGTAAAGTTTAACTGTTTTGAGATATTTATTAATACGACATAAATTATTACTTTTCCATGTTTACATTAGAAAACATATATTTATTGTAATGTTTTGTTGACAAAGAGAGATCTATCTTCCAAGAAAATGAGAGCCAACTTTTTGTATAGACAGTTTTGTCCCTTCTTTCCACATGGACCTTCTCATTCAACACCCTTCGACCCTCCCATAACCAACTCACATATGTATTAAATAAGCATGCAAGTATACAAGTACTTGAAGGGTAGAAGAAGGAAATTACAACAAAAGGAAATCCTCCATAACCTTGTGTATAAATAAGCTGAGATACTCTCCTCTTTTTACCATTCAAGTAGAGAAGGAGAGTCATAGTATTCATATCCAAACTCAATGAAGCTCTTTCTGGTGATCACCCTTTTAATTCTCTCCACTCTCCTTTATGAAGCTCAAGGTATGTTTCAACAACAAGCATATATACACATATACATAGTTACATACATGCACAAACATATAAACTATCTTAGTCATATTTAAAAAGTATTTCACCCTGTTAATTAGTGGTTAATTTTTTTATTGTTTTATTTTTTTGTGATCAACCCAATTTTAAAGCTAATGTAATTTCCATAAACAAGGAAATATGTAGTTAGCGCATTTTATAGGTCATTACACAAAAATAAATTTTTGATAAAGATATTCAAATAGTTTTTTTTTCTCTAAGAAGGATCAAGAAATATTTTCTAAATTTTATTAGTTACAATTCACTTTCAAAGTTTCAGCATTCTACAATGTCAACATATCTTTTTATTATCTAAGTGTTATGCATCCGAATCACTAGCAAATACTTGTTTTTTTGTAATAACCCAATGGTATTCTAAAGCTTGTTTCCTATGCTTATTTGTATGCAGGAATAAATAGAAAACTAATGACAGAAACCATCTCCTTTAGTACTACAACAAGTGCTAGCACCATCACTTACAAGGTTGGTCATCTGCCAAAATCTTTGCATTTTGTGGACTTTACAAATTAATAAAATTTCCTGATTTTAATAACATAAATTTGATTTTCATTTGCAGAAGCACAACAATGAGGAAAACAAAGGTCATGACCTGAAATTGGGAAACAAATCTACGGAAGATAATCTTGCTGTTGATTTATCATCAAAACACTTGAAATACGGAAAGACCGAAGCCAACCCACCAGGCTATGCAGATATTGTAGACTTAGCTGGGATGGATTATTCTCCAGCTAGGAGAAAACCTCCGATACACAATTAAGGTTACAAAAAATGAATAAATTTCAGTGTTTTTTTGGAAGTCTAAGTAACGAAATATGAAGGTAGATCAACCAAGTTTCGAGAAGACGTCAAGGAGCAAAGGCAACATTCTTCATATTTCAGTAATTTGTTCATAACTGAATAATATCCTTTTAATTTGTGATAGGTAAATTAGGTATTTACGATTAGGAAGACAAGAATATGTACATATTACTTTAAGTTATTATCATATAGAATTAGTTTTAGATTAATGATTATTAATATTTTATATGTTTAGAACCATAAGCCCTTCGTGAGCTTTGTAGGCTTTTTGTGATAAATCTGTGAAGATATTAAATAAGGTGAAATGGAAATAAAGTGATTATTTAATATTAGCTAAGGCCTAAGAATCTTCTTTTTGTTCTTTCTTCTTTTGTGCATGTTGATAATTCGGAAAATATGGTGCATATATATATATATATATATATATATATATATATATATATATATATATATATATATATATATATATATAGAGGACCGTTGAATCAAAATTAACTTATTAAAGACATGATCGTCATCTTACCAATCTCATTTAATGTTTAATTTTTGGTGTTATTGGAAATATTCATAAAAATGTCTAAAAATTAACATAATAAATAAGATTATCGGATTTTTTTTAAATAACAATTTTTGATTTTTTAAAAAATTGCAGATGTTTTAAACTTTTTTTAGAAAACATGAATTTTTAAAAAAAATTGAAAAAAAGTATTTTTTTTAAAAATACTGCAATTTTTTTAAACACAGTAAATTTTTAAAAATCGGTAATATTTAAAAAAAAAGCTGGAATATTTGGAAAAAACTATAATTTGTTAACAAAAAAAATCAATGATTTAAATGCATATATGCATATTTTTTCAGGTGCATGTATGCATATTTCTTATACTATAATTGATATGTGTATTTTTATACATATTTTTATACATTATATCTTAATATTTTAGCCTTTATTATTCTCTTTTAGAACTAAAGGTACTTATAATGCTTTGAATTATGATTTGCAGCTATTAGTTGTCGATAGAGCGGAAAAGAAAAGATTGGAGCGGAAATCGGGGATAGAAGCAAAAAGAAAGAAAATGCTGAAGACTGCTATTACGCCCAACGTAATATAAGTTACGCCAAGCGTAATGCTGAAAAGAGGACTACGCCCAGCGTAGTTAAAGTTACGCCCAGCGTACTGGGTATTTATCCAGACTTCCTAATCGCGGATGGATTCCTACTACGCCCAGCGTACACCGACTTACGCCCAGCGTACGTAAGTCGGTTCCAAGGGTTATAAAAAGCGATTATCAGCTAACCAGAGGGGAGTTTTCGACTTCCACTGATCCATAATCGACAAGAAACATTTATTAGGCCGTTTTGAGGGTCTAGGAGGCGGCCGGAAGGCCGTTAAGCTGACAGGAGCGAAGATCTGAAGGATTGGAGAGCGGATTCGTGTCGGTAATCATGTGGTATGTTATCGTGACCATGTTTGCATTCCATTGTGATGCCATTACGTGTTTACTTTCTGATTTAGGTGTTCAAACCTTTTACTTTGTCTTTATGACTGAATGAATCTTCGAATTATTGGTTTAATTTCTATTTTGGATTATTTATTCTTATTTAATTTATTTTGTCAAGTTTGATTGAAGATCCATATGTGTTAAAGATTGTTGTTTTGTTTCCTATTGCTGAATTAATGAAGTTTAGATGACCATCTAGCTATGTTAGTTTGAATCATAATTGTCCAATGACTATTGGTGATTATGACTAGAGTTTTGACCAAAACCTAGGGTTAGGAAATAAAGTAATGAACTTTAATGTGTGTGCATGAGTAGAATGACCATTCGATGCATGACTTAACTTCTAAGACTATTAGAGTTAAATAAGATCAAATCTTGCTTAATACGAACCAAATACTGATTTGCATGATTGTTTGTTCACTTGATCAATGAGTTAATAATTGTGTTGAAATCAAAGGATTAGCAGTCGTGACCATGACACTAGTCATATTAGGAATCGGTGAATAAATAAATAATTATCCATTGTATCAGTAGTTAACCATTAATTTAAGAAGTAATTCATCTAAATCAAAGTACCTAAAGAAATTTGTATTCCTGTAAGTTTATCGAGATTTGCTAATTAATTGTTCGTCTGAGATTTAATAAAACCATTTTCTTTATTGCTTTTGTGTGTTTTGTGTAACCTATAATCAAATATTTTAAATTAATTCACTACCGTTCCCCTTGTGTTCGACACCCTTACTTATCAAAGCTATACTATACTCGATCGGGTTCACTGCCTGTAAGGTGTGGTTTAGATGCGATAAATTAGGACTTATAAATAAAAAACCAGTGCATTACGTATTCACATCAATAATATTTGTATGTAAATAATAAATAAAAAACCATTTTTATTTACTAATCTATAAACGTAAAAGTACACGTATTTTATTCGATAAAAAGTAAAATATAAAAAAACAAAAAATACTACAAAAATTTCAAAGCTGTAACACCCGGTTCTAAACTGCTTCGTTGTTGGGGGTTGCGGGCCAGTCATCAGCAATCAAGAGGCTTAAGGCTTCGGGAAAGGAAGGATTTAGCCCATTTCGGATATAGTTTCCATGGTATAAGCTCCCGAGTTTTTGATCGTGTCTTCAGAAGCCAAGGGTGTAATCGTAATTTGACATCGCGACCTTTTATGGATTTTGGATTTTAGTTCGGTTGGCTTTCAGGGTAAATAAAGTTAATAGAAGCGTAGGGCTTCTCGTTAGCTTTCCGTGGATATAAAGAACGTCAAAATCGGACTTATAACGAAGAAGTTATGGCCTTCGGAAGTTTCATGGTTTTCAGGCTTAGCCGAGTACGCGGGGCGTACTAGTGAAGAGGGCAGTACGCAGGGCGTACCTTGGAGTACGCTGAGCGTACTGATCAGGATGGTCGCGAATGTTCTTCGGAGTACGCTGGGCGTACGCCAGTCAGATCAGAACCCTATTTTAGGGTCTTGGACCCTATTTAAGCTCCTTATCCAATAACCTAACCCTAATATCTTCAGCCTCCATCCCTCTAAACCCTAGAAATCGACCCATAACCCCCATTTGAGTGATTATAGAGCTTCAAAGTGATTTTTTGTGTGTTTTGGTGCTTGAGGAGTGTCACACCCCCAAACCGGAACGGCGGAAACGTTCGGGGGCGGAGGACGTCATGTTTAGCATCACAACCAATGAATAATAAGAAACATAGCAACACCACCAATACAGTGGATACATATATAAGTAAAATGTTTACATCAGTTTGAAATCTTGTTTTAGGTACATCAAAAGTATGTAAAAATAATAACATAAGACTCTTACTGCTCCAGCTTCTCAAAATCGAGCAGGTACCTGTCTACTGATTTCCTGAGAATACAAGCAGTTTTGAAAGAATATCAGCATAAAGCTGGTGAGTTCATAAGCATTTAGTTTTTGTGGAAAATGTTTCTTTGATCCTTTTTGAAAAGTGTTCCTCAAGAAAATCCTATATTTTCTTATGAAAAGCAGTGTTATAAGAGTATCTATTAGTAGAAGATAAATCACCAGTTTTAGAAATGCCAGTGTTATCTTGGGAAATCCTATATTTTCCCTAAAAACAAGTTATCCGTTCTAGAGGTAGAGATGTAAGTTTAGAAATCTCTGATTACTATCAGTATGTATAAAAGTAGTTTTATTACTCAAAATAAAACTAATGAAGATTAGAGTCCGTAAACCAAAGTTAGTTTATACTTATTTGTGAGTCGTATAACCATACTTGATATGACCTAGAGACCTTTATAACGTTCTTCAGGCGTTAAGCTGAATGACATTTGTTCACCCCAGGCGTGCCCGCCTAACTGTAGCTAGCAGTTCAGGTGTGGGATTGTCAGTCCCGAATAGATCTATTCACAAATCTTACGCTCTCCCTCCAGGAGACTCTGGTTATACTATGATAGGATTTAGTTCCGTACACTAAAGGGTACAGTATTAAAGTAGAGCCTCACAATTCTGTATAATCTAGTTTACTAGCGAGAAACAGTATAAAACATTAATTATTCTTGAATAAGTGTACTTTATACTTCTGAGAAAACATATAACATAAACTAAATCGGCCATAGTTTATATATATTCATCCATGAAATCTGATTTGGTAGAAACTGCCTAGAGGGTTATCCCAAACTATACCCATTATAGTTTACTAGTGTTGTTATGGAAAATGTTTTGTAAACCCTTTCTGAAAGCTATGAAGTGAGATTTCCAAAATAACAATTTCTCTCTTATGCTCAACATATTACAAAAGGGATAAAATATCCGAGTAAGTTATTAAACATGGAAATCGTTGAGTTGTATTAATAAGTTTAAAACTTAATAAAATACGTTGAGTTTGGCTTGTATTCCCCCCTGAAAACATTAAAAACACGGAAAATGTAGGGGTATGAACTCACCTGTAGTGAGTGGTTCTGACGTGTGGTTGAAAGAGGAGTGCAGAGTGTCAGGTGTAACCTTGAGCACAAAAAAATGATCCTAATAGACACATATAGACATGTATGTGTATGAATTTAGTGTATAGACGACTAAATAAGAAGGGTAACACCCTTATTGGCTAGGAAACTCTAAGATTTATGGAATACAATCACATATGATTGCATAACTAGGGCATATGGCCACCCTATAGAGTTTACGGTCAAAGAGGTATGACCATTGGAGTTCACGGTCCAAGTGTTCACGGTCTTGGTGTTTACGATTTTAGTGTTTACGATCCAATGACCTTACGGTCATGGAGTTCACGGTCTAATGACCTTACGGTCATAAGGTTTACGGTCCATGGGTTTACGGTTCCATGGGTTTACGGCCCATGAATATACGGTCATTGAAGGGTGTACGGTCTAAGGAGATACACTAGACCGTAAACTCATCAATCTTGCACAAATGATGGTTTTCAAGGGTTTCATTCAAAGGTGTCAGATTCTAGGGACCATGCTAAGCCTTAGGAAGGGTAAAGGCTGTAAGAACACCCTTTATAAGGGTTTACGGTCTATGAAGATTCATAGGACCGTAAACTCTTTTGTTCAAGCAAAGAGTGATGATCTTAAGTCCAAAATGAAGGATTTTAACTCGATTCATGAATGGGAAGATGATACTTACGGTTTTTGAAGGCAAGGAAGGTGTTTTCGTTCCAAAACACAACCGTGTTCTTGAGGATTCTCGATGAAGGTAGAGAGAGAGTAGAGAGAGAAAGACTTTGAAGTGTTTAAAGTGAAAAGAATGGCTGAAATGATCATCCATAAACTCAAGGTCTCGACCGTAAACTCCTTTTTGAGGAGGTTTACGGTTGCTAGGTAGTTTAGAACTTAAACTGACACTTCCAAATACTAATTCCTTTGATTCACTAGAGTTAGGATACTTAAAACAGGTTCCCAAACAGTGATAACTGGGAGCAAAATGAGTCTAACACTAATAAATTTGAATGTTTACACAAGTTAGAAATTTCGGGTTGTCACATCATCCCCCCGTTAGAGGGAATTTCGTCCTTGAAATTCGAACATAGAATACAAATCATGAATTAGGAAAGAGATGCGGATACTTCTGTTTCATCTGTTCTTCGCGCTCCCTAGTGAATTCAGGTCCCCGCTTGGCATTCCAGCGAACCTTCACTATCGGGATGCGACTTTGCTTCGTTCGTTTGATTTCTCTATCCATGATTCCGATCGGCTCTTCCACAAAGTTTAGGTTCTCATTGATCTCAATCTCATCGAGAGGGACCACAAGGGTTTCGTCGGATAAGCATTTCTTAAGATTCGAAACGTGGAAGATAGGATGAATGTTGTTAAGTTCTCGGGGTAGACAAAGTTTGTAGGCTACGGGACCGATCCTAGCGAGGATCTTGAAGGGTCCTATGTATCTTGGATTTAGCTTTCCACGCTTTCCAAAGCGTATCATGCCCCTCCAGGGTGAGACCTTTAGCAGGACACGGTCTCCAACCTGGAACTCCAAGGGTTTTCGTCGTTTATCGGCGTAGCTC